CTGTCAGGAAGTTCTTCCTAATGTTTAGCCAAAAACTCTTCTGATTTAATTTCAACTCATTGGTTCTGGTCCGACCTTCTGGGGCAACAGAAAACAACTCCACACCATCCACTAGATGACAGCTCTTCAAGTATTTGGAGATGGTTATCATATCACCTGTCAGTCATCTTCTCTCCAGGCTAAACATACCCAGCTCCTTCAACCTTTCCTCATAGGACTTGGTCTCCAGACCCCTCACCATCTTCGTTGCTCTCCTCTGGACATGTTCCAGCTTGTCTATATCCTTCTTAAATTGTGGTGCCCCAAACTGAACACAATACTCTAGGTGAGGTCTAACCAGAGAGGAATAAAGTGGTACCATCAAATCTCGTGATCTGGATACTATACTTCTATCGATAAAGCCCAAAATTGCATTTGCCTTTTTAGCAACCACATCACACTGCTGACTCATGTTCAGTGTATGGTCGACTAAGACCCCAAGATCCTTTTCGTACATACTACTGCCAAGACAAGTCTCCCCAACCTATAATTATGCATTTGATTTTTCCTATCTAAATATAGAACTTTACATTTATCCCCACTGAAATTCATTTCATTTGTTTTAGCCCAGTTTTGCAGCTTGTCAAGACCATCCTGTATCCTGACTCTGTCTTTTACCGCATTTGCTACCCCTCCCAATTAGTATCATCTGCAAATTTAATAAGCATTCCTTCTATCCCTTCATCCAAATCACTGATAAAGATGTTGAACAAAACAGGTCCCACGACAGATCCTTGAGGCTTGTCACTGTCACTGCTCTCCAAGAAGATGAGGAACCATTCACAATCACTCAGACACACCACAGGAATCTCGACGAGGTACCTTAATCTTCTACAAAAAATACACAAGCCTGGCAGTCCAGGACACCCCATTGTCTCAGGCATAGGCACTATCACTGTGGGGGGTACCTGGATATATGGACTTGGTTCTAGGACCCTATGCCATCAATCCTCCTAGTTACATTTGCAACACCACAGAGTTTCTGAGGAAAATGCAAGCTTTGAACAACCTTCCAGAGAATACCATTTTAGCCACCAAGGATGTGGACATATTCCTCTAGGCATTCAACATCTTTTACCTCACCATCAGCCTAACAATGAACCAATCAATGCAAGAAATATATTTTCTGGACACTATTGTAAAAATACAAAATGGATACAAAGACACCAACTTATACCGGAAACCTACTAACTGACAAACATACCTACATGCCTCCAGGTACCATCCCAAATATACCAAACAATCCATTGTATATAGCCAGGCTCTATGCTACAGCTGCATCTGCTCTAATTCTACAGACAGAGAGTCTCACCTGAGGGATCTACAACAAACCTTTTTGGAACTAAAGTATGCACCTGATGAAGTCAAGAAACAGATTAAGAAAGCCAGAATGATACTCAGAGAAAATCTGTTGCAAGACAGGCCCAAAAGAGACAATAACAGAAACACCACTAGTGGTCACATACAGCTCTCAACTCAAAACAGTTCAATGCATCATCAGCAACCTCTTCTGGATAATGACAATTCTCTTTCACAAGTACTGGGGGACAAACCTTTTCATGTGCACAGAGAACCCTCCCAATATCAAACTAATCCTCACCCATAATATTACAACATCTAATTTGAACATAGGCTCATAGAATCATAGAGTTTGAAGGGACCTCCAGGATCACCTAATTCAACCCCCTGCACAATGTAGGACATTCACAACTACCTCCCCCTCCACACCCCCAGTGACTGCTGTGCCATG